GATTAGATGTTCACAGTGCCACAGTTTATAACTTTGTTAAATTTCTTCTGATTTTAATTTGTAAGTAAAATTTTATTATTTTTATTAATCGTAAATTGCAAAAAGGCAAATGAAAAGTAACAGAAAACTAAAAAAATTTACTAGAATCACAATGGAACTGAAAAAAGAGATTGTTGAGAAATATGAAGGTGGCATGCATGTTTGAGTTTTAACTGTTTCATACCGTATTCCGAGAACGACAATACCAACAATCATGAAAAATAAAGACATTATTAAATCTGCTAACGTTGCAAAAGGGGTTAAATCAATTTCTAAACAGATATCAAAGACATTAGATCATGTTGAGAAATTGCTTTTGCTTTGGATAACTGAAAAACAGTGTGCTGGCGACAGTGTATCAGAAGCAATTATTTGCGAGAAAGCTAAAAAGATACATGCTGATCTCATGAAAAATCAAGCAGGAACTAGCCAGGAAAGCGAGGTGTTTAAAGCCAGCCAGTTTTTTTTTTACATGAGAAAGGATTAATCATTTTTACATTACTTCTTATGGGAAAGGTTGGTTTGGTATACGTCCTATTTGGTATAAGTCCAAACACCAGGAACGGATTAAGGGCGTATACCGAGATTCCACTGTATACAAAACTAAGATGGCATTGTGCAAGCAGTTTAGCTGAAACAAGTTGACAGTCAACATGTTAAATACTTGGTGCTGCATGTTTTATGGATAATTGAAAAGAGTGGCTAAGAAATATACTTTCTGGATTGTTTTTAATATTTATTTTTAGTTTATAATACAGGACATAGTCATTTAATGATGTTATAAAGATAAATTCAGAATATCACCGGAACTTAAAATTGGAGCAATGACATTGTGTTGGAAGGGCAAGCAATGCCCATCCACCTCTCACTGCTATTGATGGCCCTCTTCTCAGAGTGGCATTTCTGTCAGTTGTCTCCTGCTAAAGCATCAGTCACGTGAAAGAATGAAGAGTCATTCTAAAGGTTAGCTCAAAGTGATAGTGAACAGTGAAAATAAATGAAAAACCAGAAAGCAACAATTTTTGCCATGTAGCTACTGACAAAGCAATTTACTAAAGTGAAAAATTTATTAGAAATGGTGCCATGTGTTATATATTGTTTACTTTATTTATTGCATTTTCTGGTGATTTGCTATCAATATGGACTAATCTTAAGTGAATACATAATTTGCTTTTTCACTTTTTTTAACAATGGTTTACATTTTTGACGAGACTATGTCTTGTCTATAAAATCGCATTGCTGTCAATGGTTGGACACTCTAGAGGTATGAAGGAGTACATTTCAGGAGTACATGTCCAATTTGGCTCAGAGTATTTGGTTAGTACATTCATATACACACACAAAAAAAAAACCAGACTTGTAGGTACTCAAGGGACTGAGAACCAAGTCAAAATAAAGTACAAAATAGTGACACTTCCTACAAACAGGCACTAGTGTGAGATTTGCACATGCAGTGCTTGTTGGGAATTTCGAAATGTTAACATTGCAAAATTGAATTTTGACAAACGTGTGACACACATTACACATGTATTCTCTTTCTCTCATCATTTCATCATCCTGCAAAAAATATCTTCCCACTTACTGTAGCCAAGAACAGGCCCGTGACAACGCAATCCGTTGTAACCACAGTGGCAACGAAGCCTGCTGTAATCTACGCGAGGACCCTGAGTACTGGTGGCGGCTTTTCCTCATTGGTTAGTGCTCATTTTTCTCTTTTCCTTAGAAAATGGTGCACAGTTGAGCCCTGAGTCTCTGAGACATACTATCATCTCAAAAATGGCCTTGCCATTTTACTTGTTCCATTTTAAAATTAATAATGCATAAGTGAATAAAAAGTGCTGCAGGATACTGAAAAATATGATATATTTGTGTGAAATCATATAAATGAAAAATGTATGACAAGTGTTTTATAATAGAGAAAGTATCTTGCAGAAGATTTTTAATACAGTAGTGCCTCGTATAACGTACTCCTGGAATAATGGACGTTGCGAACAACGGACTTTCTATTTGGCCATTATGTGACTCGAGCAACGGACTGGCTGCGAACAACGGACTTTCCGTTCGGCAGTTACGTTAGGCAAACAATGGACTTTTGCAAACAAGTGCGAATGACATTTCCACTCTTTTGCCGTTGCCAACGACAATCTGCTATTTTTATAATATATTAATATTATTAGAATATATTATTAGTATATCTGAAGTACAGAGCTCCCGTTGGGATTCAGCTTGCTCCCTTGTTTATTACGTACATCATCTCAGTGCAGGGTATTTACATTTATTCAAATGTTGTGCAAATCATGGCTTCTAAAAAACAAAAAGGTGATTTCAATTGAAATAAAGCAAAAAAATCATCAGAAGGAATGAAAGTTGACAGAAACTTCCTTGTCAAATGGGGAGAGGTTCAGGAGTTTACCAACACTCATTATCCAAACACAGTTGAGGCCAACAGGATCAATGATCTCTACAATGACACCCTTGCCCATCATTTCCGACAGGTGTTGAAGAAGAGAGAGAAACAGACCACTTTGCACATGTTTTTCAAAAAGCCAGCTGCCAAAAGATAAAAGATGGAACAAGAAGAGTTGACCCTGCAAGCCCCAGTAGCCTCTCCTGAATCTGACTTTGATTAAAAAACAATAAAAAGAGACCTGCTGCAATGTGTAAAAAAGTCTGTATCTGTATGAATGTGTGAATAAAGTGAGCCTCCACCTCCTTCTCACAACATCTGACTACCCGACATAATTGGTGACTGCTCCATTTTCATTTTTTTTTATGGTACAGTACAGTTATTTTGTGCTGCGGAACGAATTATATGTTTTAATATGTATTTCTATGGGAAAATGCGTTTTGTATAACGGACTTTTCACTTAACAGACGTTCACCAGGAACGGATTAAGTACGTTATACGAGGCACTACTGTATATTACAAAAAAATTTACAGTGAGAAACATACAAACAGTGTTCAATTGTATTTCAACACTAGAAAAATGAATTATTCATTATTTTCACTAAATTTTCTTTAATTTAACAATACATTTTAATGTAATTATAACAACACTTTAGAATGGTCAAATTATCAAATATCTATATAAATCATAAATTTTTTATATATTCTGTATATGTGATTCATCAAAGTGGCAATAATAATTGAAATTTGTTGCTGAAGTGCCAGAACAAATTATTGCATTAAAGTTACTATAACTGGTCTTCTGCACATTTCCATGTCTCATAAAGTGAAGTCAAAGGATCTGGAATACTAAATCTAAACAAAAACATTTGAGATATAAAAAAAAATTGCACCAAGTAAAAACATGAGAATTTAGACAACAATCAAAATTTTTCTAAGGAGTTTTTTTTTGTAAAGATAAGCTTGACACTTGGAAATGAAATGCAGAAAGCAATAATACAGGTAAAAATCTTGTGGGTACTGTTTCCAATAGTCAAGGTAAATCTGTACCAAAGAAAAACTTCTTAGAAAAATTTTGATTGTTGTCTAAATTGTCATAAGTTTTTACTTGATACAATTTTTTTACATCTCAAATGTTTTTGTTTGGATATCAGTTATTTTTTTTTTTTGTTTAATAATTGTATTACTACATCAAGACATTAGGTGATGCCATGCAATTCGGTTGCCAACCAAACACATCTCTGACCAATGTGCCACTAACTGAATGTGCTGCCAACTGAACAGTTTCAGTATTCATTTTGACCAAATGTGTCTCTGACTAACAGCTGCAATTGAATGTGCTGCCGACCAATGCTTTCAATATGCTGTTTATAAAAATCATTATAAAATGTTTTAATTCACATAAATTTGAGCTTTTGTTATTCTGGATAACATTTTGAACAAAATTCATTTGTTCTGATGCAATTTTGTCTTTATAAGCATAAAATTAAGCCATAAAATTGAAATAGCTCTATGGGAAACCTTATAAACTTTGACCAGTCTGTAGTTTCTCCAGCACCTCACTGATAATGATAAAGGCTTAAGTTTAAAATTTGAGCTTTCTAGACCCAGTAGTTTTTTCTCTGTAAATGTCTGTAGTGCTGGATTAAGAAGAAGAAAATACTTTTTTCTCAATTTTTGCACTTTTCAATTACTTATATTTTTGCAATTGCTTTATAGAAAATCTTGAAATTTTGCACACTACCTAAGAAAACAATTACCTTTCAAATGAGATATTTGGAATTACTGTAGAAGTTTGGGGGCAGAGAAATCAACCACCAAAAATTGGTAACTTTCATTCCTATATATATATATAGTCAGTCACTGACTTTTTTACTTGGTGGGGAGTCACTACCCTGACTCTTGATAAAAGTTCCTGTTTGTTCCTATTATAAATATTCAGATAGTTTATATTTGTGATAGCTTTCACAATTTAAATGTAGTTACAATTTACATGTTACAAATATTTTGTCAATTGAAATATAAATTTCCTTATTTTTTTTAATTGTTTTTAAGTGTATATCTAAGACTAATTTAAAATAAATCAAGGTATTGTTTTTTAAGTCAAGAAATTTATAGTCATTTTTATAATCTACAGCTTTTAACAGATTTAGCAAAGCAAAAAAAAATATGATTTTCTTTTGCAGCAAAATACCTTTTACTATTTAATTGACCATTCCATGACTAAGGTGAAATTTATTTATTTATTTTTTGAAACTGTGTCCTGTTTTATAATTCTGGCATCATAAACCCTAGTATTGTGTTTTATTCCAAAGACACGTGGCAAGTTTTCCGTCAAATTCCTTTATTAGTTGAGTCGACTCAACTAATAAAGGAATTTGGTGGAAACTTGCCTCGTGTCTTTGGAATAAAGCACAATACTAGGGTTTACTACGCCAGTGAAATTTATTATTTTCATTTAAAAAAAATTGTATTTATTCATATAGGTAACTAAAAATGTTTAATGAAATTTCTGTTAAAATTATTTATATAAAGATATCTTATATATATGCAGATTTGGTGAAAAGAAAGATTCTTGTATTAGATTTGGATGAAACATTAATTCACTCACATCATGATGGAGTGATAAGACAAATGGTAAAACCAGGCACACCTCCTGATTTTGTTTTAAAAGTAAGTAACAGAAAAATTTTATTTCATTAGAATAAAATTCAAAATAATTATTTAATACTATGTTTTATTCTCTAGGTGACTATAGACAGACATCCAGTTCGATTTTTTGTGCATAAAAGGCCACATGTGGATTATTTTCTAGATATTGTAATTACTCAGTTATTTATTTAATAAATATTTCATATAATTATTAACTTAACTAACAGATATAAATTAGAACCATTATTTCTATTTTAAAATTTTCCTATATTTTTTCATCATGATTCTTCTATCAATTAGGTAAGCACATCAAAATAACTTTTCATAAGTCATTAATGTTTAAGCTTTTTCCATTCAGTACAACTACTATTCAACTTAATATATGTTTTTACCTCATTTTCCTCATGCAAAATTAAATTTTAAAACAATGCTGACCACTTATATTAGAACTGGTCCATATTGGCATTTTATTTCTTTTTATTGTAGAATTACTAAGTAGCCAAAAGGATAGTATACAACTGGAGAACAATGTTGATGCAATTAAAATTCAATGTTTGAAATTCTAGCAAGAAGTTTTTACAATAAAAATGTTCTTGATCAGATTGATTGGTCTCCTTCAGTTACAAAACATTCAAAAATACAGTTACATTAAAGAACAGAAGATAAAAAATGTAAATAACTAATGTAAAAGAACATAATATACAAAGTTTAAAAAATAGAATATGTAAGGTGCACTTCCTCAATGTTGATAAGGAGGAGATCTCTAATTTTACAAACACAAGAAGGTAGTCTAATAAATAGAAAAAGTGATTAAAATCAAGAACTGTCTTATATTCTTTGTTGACTAATGAGATAGTGTTAAGGTATTTTATCAATTGTAAAGAGTTATTGATGCAGAATGGGTGAGATATAGTCTTAGTATTGCAGAACTTTGACCAATTGTTTTTCATTCAAGAATGTTGGAGAATTGTAATTATTGATCACCAGACACAGTTGGTTTGTGGATCTTCATGAAAGCAAAATATGTGGTATTCTAGTCTCATGGATGGTGAAATTTTACATATGTAAGAGACATGCAAAAGAGGTGAAAGTAAATCTTTTATATCCTTTTATGCAAGGTTTCTAAAAATGTTGTTAAGTGCAAGTTGGCAATTCATGGTGTTAATAATATTCTTGTAACTTCTCATATGTTGAGTGTTTGATTAATATTATGTTTCCTGATTTATCAGCTTTTGTGTTATTCTGCTTCAACCATTGGTGTGAACTGTACAGAATGTTCCAAAAATACTTGGTATTGGTATTAGTTCTGTTTTATACTTTACACATGAAGCAGTTTTTCATTGGAAAAAGTCTCTGTGATATCATTTATATCTTTAGTGATCAATTCAATATCCAGCATGAAGGTTCTGGTTGAAGAGAAGAGCTAGGATTGAAAATGTTTTTATTGTAATAAACTTCTTGCTGGAAATTCAAAGACTGAATTTTAACTAATTAGTAATATTAATTGCATCAACATTACTAAGTAGATTGTTAATTCACATGTATCAAATTATATATTTTAAATATACAGTAGAGCGTCGTTTATCCAAATCAATTCGGGACTGGGGTTGTTCGGATAACTGATTATGTACGAAAAAATATATTAACCTATCCCATCCTGAAATTTTTCTCCGTTGCGTGTCACTTTGCGTTGAATTTTTGTCGATGTTAAGCCTAACGTAAACTTTTTAAAATAATAATTGTGGCTATTGTATCGTTAAAAATTATTTCTTTATTTTGTACAAACAAAATAAATATATTGAAAAATATAAAAACAATAAAAAATTATACTTCAGAAGTTAATTTAGTATCAAAAACGTAAAATATTTGAGTAGCCCAAGACATAGCCAAAGATTGCAGCACCACAGCACTAGCGAAAATTTAAATTTACCAACTGGAATTTTTTCAGATAACCGACTTTCAGATAAACGATGCTCTACTGTATTAAGATTCCTTTATTATGATATAAAGGAAGATGATTATCTTTTAACAGCCATATTCATATAGGACTGATATCATGTGTTATATATACATATGATTTTATTATTTTTCACTCATTTGCTTAGTCTAATTAAGTATTATATATATACACGCACACAGGACAAGTCAGGAATATGTTTCTATAAGAAAGCATTGCCTACATTCAGAACATAATGGAGTTATGCTGAAAGATTGTCATGGACCCAGCTAATACTAGATTGTTTTTCTGAATGCTCTTTTTGCTCTTTATTGCAAATATGATATCAATATATAACAGGTATTGAAAGACATGATCTGTAAGGTTCCCTTCAATAAAACACAATCCAGAAATTTAATTTGCCAAGATTCTTGCCCTGACATTAATTTTAAATAGATGTTGTGTGTATGATTCTCTAGATTTTCCTCAGATCAAATTTGACAGTTGTCAATTAACATGATCATTCAGAAAAAAATAGCCTCATTGTAGAAACATATTCTGTCATTAAGGCCAGGATTTTGAATGATCTTGTCAGTAAAAACTGTATAAAACTCCACTCTTTTATAGGAGTCATTTTCAATAAGCATATAATGTTTTATACTATATTACTATAAAATATAATAATTTGTTTAGATAGTTTTAATATATTAATTGTTAGATCTAATTTTTATGTAGAGAATTAATTTTTAGATAGAATTGCATTTATTGCTATAAATTATTTGTATTTGTTGAAAAACACAAAAATAAGAAAAAAGTGATCTTACATTGAGTAAATGACAATAAATTTTTCAAGCCTCCATATATTTAATTTACATTTAATTTAATGAAATGTATAATAATTATGTAGTATAGCTCTAAATATCAGTTATATTGGCTCTATTCTAAACTGAAAATTTATTGTGATACAAATAGCTATATAGAAAAAAGTAACCATAGTTGTGATTCCATAATTCAAACAAAATATATCTTTTAGTTTGTACTTTACTTATGAAATCACAATTGTGCTTATTTTCTATGAGTATGTTATATTTAAACTGAGAAAAGTGTGTTTGTGAAATTAATGGTTAAGTTGGAAGTTTTTCTTTGGAAAAATATTTTTTCAATAAAATGAAATAAACAAACTTTCTTTAATTAAAAGATCTAAAAGATTAAGTTTTTACATTTATCAGTGCATTTCATTTTTGTTAATACAAAAGTTTTCAAAAAATTAGAAGATAATGTTAAAAACAAACAATCTAAATCACATACTCAGCAGTAAGTTAACAAATTTACTTAATCACTTTATTCTTGCTGATAAATGTTTATTTGCATGAACTCAAACATTTTCAACTTAATACAATAGGTAGAATGTTGAGTCTGACCATTTTACAAAAAGTGGAACAACTCAACGAAGGAATGTTTGAACAAATACAATATGAGATAAATTTAAATACAAAATTATGAAAAAGTAGTCTCTGTTTGTAAATGGAGAAGCAGAATAAATAAAATAAAATAATTAAACAGTAATAAAAAAACAAACAAGTGATTATTTATTGTGATATTGTCAAAATGCCAGGCTGCAATTTTTAATCATACTTTTAATTTATTTAATTTAAAATATATGCTTTCCACCTCAAATTAGTAATATCTTGCTTCTGTATATCATACTTTTCCTTTAATAATAGAGTTGTGCTGATCATCTATTGACTGCTTTCAGGGGAAAACGTCTGAATTGAAATGATGTGACTTCCAGTGCAAACCAGAAGTTCATATATATATATATACCGTATTTTACAGACTATAAGATGCTACGGACTATAAGACGCACCTTAATTTTTAAGCAACTTTTTAAAAAAATAACATTTTTACCATTTTTACTGCCTAAATTCAATCCTTTTATACAGATTGAAGCAAACGCTGATCCACCAATCAACTTAGTAGCACTATCAAACGTCCGCTGATCATACGATGGTCGCATGATGATCGCTGCCAATCCATTGTTGTGGATTCAGAGCCACTGGTCGTCTCTTGATCCCAAGTTGCTATGGCAACAACCGTTGCTCGTTTGAAAAGAGAAAAGGCGCAGGAATTGTATGTCCAGACGATTCTATCCCAACACCCCGTAACTCATGTTCGTCGCATTGGTGCACTGCTGCTGCCAGTTGAATTCAATGTTGCCAGATAGAGATAAGTTTCTCGCGGCATCAAATATATGGCCATTTTTAAGACGCAGGAATTTTAAATCAAACACTGGACATTTTTATATTAATTTTGAGTATAAGACATATCAGCAACTGCAGCACCATATTTTTATATTAATTTTGAGTATAAGACATTGTGTTTGAATTTCAGAGGCAATTTTTCAAAGAAAAAAGTCGTCTTATAGTTCGTAAAATATGGTATATAGTCACTTGGGTCTTCTGACCCTAAGGTTTCTATATCTGGTCTTGGATTTTATCTATCTAATCCTGTTCTCGAGATTTAAGGAAAGACATGTGGACAGGCGACAATTCGGAATTTATAGGTCTACAATTTTTTTCAAATATAAATAAACAAATATCTGAAATTGATATTTGTTATGTAGTGTCTATGAGTAATAGATGTTTGATAAAGTATCCTTGATATCTTTAAAACTCAATGTTCCCACACTAGCACTCAGCAATGAAAAAATTAAAATTTATAAAAGCAAATTAACTGATGGTTTGCAATAATTCCAGAGTTGTTGATGAGCTACTTTCAACTTGGAAATTCAGCATAAAAAAAGAAATTACATTATAGGAGCTTTTAGTTTGCTTCCATCCATATTATATACAATTCATGTATATGTCAACTTGTGCCACTTATTATTATCAATATTTATTATTCATTTATTTATTTTATTTGTTTTTATCACTTTTTAATTAATTTATTTTATTTACTGTTCTCATTTAGAGATTACATTTTTCATAATTTTGTATTAATCATATTATATTTGTTCAAACTTTCCATCAATGACTTGTTTCATTTTTTGTAAAACATTCAGACTCGGCATTCTGCACCTGATGATGACCTGTTGTAGTAAGTAAAAAACATTTGTGTTTATGCAAATAAACATTTCTTAGCAAGAATAATGTGATTAAGTAAATTTGTTAACTAATGGCAATATCAAATTAAATACATATATTCATGTCAAATTTTTACACGAAATATTATAAAATTACTTTTATATTTTGAAAAAAAAATCATATTTTTTAATATAAAACTTAATAATAATATATAAAACTACTATTAATAATATAAAACTTTTTAAAAGTTTATTTGCTTGTTTCTATTTTAGTAAGTTAATAATAAAAAAATTATATTGATAATTTACTTTTAAGACATTTAAATAATATATTTCAAAATTTAATTTGCATTTTTATAGGTAAGTCAATGGTATGAACTAGTAGTTTTTACTGCTAGTATGGAAATATATGGTGCTGCAGTTGCTGATAAATTAGACAATAATAGAGGAATTTTAAGAAGAAGGTATTATAGACAGGTATTGTATAATTTTGAAACTAAGACATTTAAAATTTCAAACTTTAATATTCTTACTTTTGTTTAATAAGATTTTTATTTATTTACATTTATTCTGTTTGTGATATTAGAAACATAAATATATACTATTCCAGTAGTAAATTGAATTTATTAGTCATTTTATGGAAATTTGGTGAATTTATTTACATAGAATTATTGAATTTTAATAATAATTATAAAGAAATAGCTTTGAATTTGTAGAGAGTAATTTTATATTATATAGTAAAACCTATCTAAAATAGAGCCTGAATAAACAGAAACCTGACTAAGTGGAAAAACTTCAGAATGGAGCAATTTTCTATGTTAAATTTTACTATATGCCAGAAATATGTGCAATATGAAAATGGAAAAGGTTTTTAGGCACAAAGAATGTAACTTAACCTGAATAAAGCAGAAAATTAAGATTTTATTCATACACAAATAAGTGAAATTGCCTCTAGACATTATCATTCTCTGTGATGCTATTATCACAGAGCACGACAAACTATAAAGAAAACATATGGACACGATCTTTGTTAATATTAGTCTTTGTTGGAATTAATCATTAATTAAATATTTTTAGTAATCAAATGAGTGTCTGAGAATTGACATTGAGAACAAACAGTGAATGTAATTTGTGGAAACAATGAAAATAAGATAACAGTGCTGCCATTTTGCCTTATACAGAGTAGTACTAACTACCCTGTATAACTTAGTAACTAACTAGTAAAAGTATTTGAAAACAAGTGGTTAACATGTTGATAATTGCAGAGTTTGAAGTAAATGATTAATTAAAGTATTAAAATCCTTTGAGAAGTCAGATCACAGAATGATTTAGTCTCTATATTACTGTAATGCTATTAGAATTTCTGATGGCAGATCAAGACACTAACTTTTGATAAAGATCATATCTGACAAGTATTCAGATACTTAGCACAAATTTTTGGGAACAACAAAAACACTTTTAGGCAGAGGTGGCCCTACATAAAGATGATACTTAGGACCTTGAAAATTTGGTAGTATGTGTTAGTAGTTAAATCTTCAAATTAGAAATTTCATTTCATGACATTTTAATTTTGAGTCTTTAAGACAAATAAATTAAATTAATATAGTGATGCTGTTTCTATTGCCATTTTTATCTTTTATTCCAAACAAGAGGAGACAAACATTTTATTTAGAAAATATTTTAGAAAATTTGGTTACTATGTGGTGTGTTATCCTATATCTGAATTTAAGTTATTGTTTAATTTTTGAAGATTTATGGTTCTAAACTTCTTTATTTATTGCCTAAACTTTATTATACATATAATTGCAAAAATTGTATTTGCATAAATTGTTCAGAAATGTTAATATTTGTTAGAGATATATTATTATTATATAATTGTAAAGATAATAGGATTGATTTTACAAATATGAATCTTTAATTTCTCGTTTAACTTAATTTAATTCAATATTTATTATATAATAATAATAATAATAATAATCTTTTAAAATATTTCAAAGAATAATAATAGATGTTGCACAATGAAAACAAAGTTCTATATTTGACAAAATACACACCTTACTTGTGGGCTACTGTTGGAGTCAGAGTTTTAAACTCCTTGCAGTCATCTTCCATAGGAACTAGCCACAATGATTTATATAATAGTAAAAATTACAAAATTTTTAAAAATTGCAAAAAAGCAGTAGCCTACAAGTAGAAGTATATAATTCATCAAATATAGAACTTTTTTATCATTTTGTAATATTTTATTCTTTGAAATATTTTTTAAAAATTAAAATGTGACAAGGCCTTTTTGCAGTTTTTTTAAAATTCTGTAATTTTACTAATAATATCAATAATTTTAATTTTGTTAAAAATTTATATATTTCAATATAAAATATTTATTGATCATATAAATATGTTAAACTTTTAATTTGCTGTTCAGCAGATCATATTTGTAATTTTATGAAACAGAAGTTTTTTATGTGAAATTAACTTGAATGCAAATATAAACATCTATTAATCCGATATTTTGTTTAATGCCAGATGATGGCCAGATTACATCAAGCTATAATAATGCTATTAATTACTAATGAAATGTCAAATAATTAGGCCTAAAGATAGGCATTAGGCATCATCTCTTGATAAAAATAATAATAATAATAATAATTTAATTGATATTTTAATAATTAATTTGAAGGTTCCAGAAGAAAAGAATTGGCCCAAAGTGGGACTTGAACCAGCAACTCCCGACATATTGCCAGTTATGCTACCGATACCTCCATCCAATCTTTGCTTCCAGAACTATTAATTTAGATATAACCATATTGGTTACTCATTGATTTTTTTTTTTCTTTCATAACTTTCTAAACTAATTATTAAAAAATATTAATTTAATTATAATTATTAAATTTATCAAGAGATGGCACTTAATGCCTACCTTTAGGTCAAATTACTTGACATTTAATTAGTAATTGGTAGCATTATTATTGTCCAATGTAATGGCAATCATATGAAGATTAAGAAACACAGCCATTTGTAATCTTTCTTTTTTTTTTTTTTTTTAGTGAAAGAAGGTTCTTTTTAATAAAGTGTTTATTTATTTTTAAGAATACTAATGTAGATTCAGAAGAATTTATTTTTAATAATAAAAATTTGTTAGATCATATTAAATATATTTCAGCAGAATATTTTGTAAATGTAAATATTTTTAATAGATTTTTCTTTATTCAACTTCATATTCACAAGTGTTAGAAATATTACAATGAGTTCATTTTATTGAAATCGAAAATAATAGTCATTATGTTCTAAAATATCTACTCTATTATAATAAAAAATATTCAGCCACAATAAAATGAATTCATTGTAGGTTTTTGGGGGGGATTTTATATCTTTGAATAAACATTTATTTGACAATGCAGATTAATTTATATTTTACTTTGTTTATATATTTATTTTTTAAAATTTTAAGAGAACATGTAAAAGTGATTTTTTTTGTTTTTTTTTTTATTTTACAGCATTGTACATTTGATTATGGGAGTTATACAAAAGATCTATCAGCAATAACCCAAGATCTTTCAAGCATTTTTATTTTGGATAATTCACCTGGTGCCTACAGGGCATATCCAGGTAAATGCAGTTTTATTTAGATATAGGCTTAAAAATGACATCTTTATTATTTTGCATAAAAATTCCAATATTTTTCATGTTTAGATAAATCTTAAAAACTCCATTACCTTTAAAATAAATTATTCATCATTGAAAAATAAATATAAAATTTAGTAAAATGTTTTCACTTTAAGATTTCTTTTAGTGATATATAAATACTGAAAATGTTTTTCGGTGTATTTGGGAAGTAGCTAGTCAGACAATATATCATTCATATATGTGGGCAAGTCAACTAAGAGTGAGAATGAATTCATTACTCATGAAATACATTAGACAGAGTCCAGATTGATAAGGTTATTTTTTTCTTTTTTTTTGAAGTAGTCTCTATTGAGTTTTATGCATTTGGCCCAATGTATCTGTCAGTCCTGGAAGACATACATTAACTCATCTTTTGACGTTGTCTTCAGAACCATCTCTGACTTCTTCAGAATGGTCATTGATGAGCTAAAACATTGTCCTATAACTCTAATTTCAGACAAGGGAACAAAAATAAGTTGCATGGATCAAGGTCTGGGTTGTGTGGAGGGTGTGGCATACATTTCATGTTTTGTTGGGACAAATATTGGCAACAACATTGCAGCTTGAGGGCATGCATTATTATGGTGTGGGTGTCCATCAGATGGATGCTACTCAGGATACTTTTATTGGATGTGTTTAGCCAGGTTCTTCAAAATACTGCTCAATAACCACTGTATGCAGTGCATTTTATATTGGTGAATCATTCCACATTAGTTGAAGAAGGAAATCACCATTCTTTTTCTAACATACCAAATGACAATGACCTTCTTTGGCATTGGAGAACTGAATGATTACCAGACTGCTTGCCTGTTTGCTTTTGGGATTGTAGTGGTGAAGCCAACTCTCATCGCCAGTAATGATTGAATTTAGGTAGTCCTTGCCATACTCCACTACCAAATGCTGAAGTTCCCAACACACCTCTGCCCATACCTTCTTCTGTTCAGGCATTATCAATCTTGGATCCATCTTGCACAGACATGTCTTAAATGCAAGTAGTCATTCATAATAGTGAATACACTACCACAGGAAATGTTACATATTTCTTATGGTAGTGCACTCACTATTCCTGGGCAGTCCATTCAGTGTTATTTGACAATCTCTCAATGGTGGCAGCAGCTGTGGTAATCATGATCTCATTTACAGAGACCAGAAACCCCAAACTGTTTGGACTGTTCTGCTTTGTGATCAAAACACAGCCCTGCTTAAACTGTTTGAACTGTGCAGTTGATTGTGGAAGAACAGCTGCAACATTTCATATGCTTCCATGGCAGATTTCTGCAGACAGGCACAAAATTTCAAAGCAGCATGCTGCTCATCACAAACTGACTTCATGTTTGGTATGCAACTGCTGACTAACGTTTATTGTTGGCACAGTGCTGTCAGACATATTTGCATACATGCTTACTATTTCTTAGCCAATCTCATAAGACCAACTCTTTTCACAAAAACTTACTTTGCTGTTGTATATCCACTGCATAAAACAAAAAAAAATCATTTTCACTCTATTTTGATTTACTCTCATATAATAATAATTATTATTATTCTTTTAATTTTTTCTGTTTGAAGTATAGTTGCATTAAAGTGAATTTTGCATTGTCACAATGTTAATGTGCACGCAATAAAGCAAACAAATATTTTACTAGGATTCATTAAATCAAACTGTAAATTACCTTCACAACCTCCAAGAAATAATCCTATTTTCAATAATGGTTGCTTTTAAACTTTCAATGTAAACAATAAAAAGTGGTACTGTAATAAATGCTGTTTTGAATAGAATAATTTTCTTCTTGTAATCAAGACGGTTTGACCTCTGACTAGAACAATTTGAATGTCTGGTTTTAGCAGACCATCGTACTTTACTCAGAAAATAGGGGTTAAGCCTTAACTCTCTAAACCAGCGATTCCCAACCTGTGGTACGCGTACCCCTAGGGGTACGCGATAGGTTGTTTAGGGGTACAGAAAAAAATTAGTTATTATGGCAGAAAAAGTAATATATTATGTATCACAAACTAATAGTATTAAAAAATTATTAGATAAATAATGTTCCTTGCAACAATCACAACTTTATTATACATTTTTTCTTTTAGTTTTTTTTTCTTTAATTTATAGTTACAATATGTAAAATTAACAATACGGTTACTCACTAAATTTCTTAAATGAGGGGTACAATCTAGAGATATGACATGTCACGGGGTACGCTAATGAAAAAAGGTTGGGAACCACTGCTCTAAACTATACAACATTGACCTTAACCCTAATCCAAAAATTGTTAATACAAATTTTTGATAAAGCAAACTATTATTTTCTTAGCAATTCATATTAATGCAAGTTGACTGTAATAGATTGTATATTACATGCTAATTCAAAAAGTTCGTCATGACAAATAAGAAAGAACAAGTTTGTCAGTGTTAGAAAGACATTTAATAACAGAAAAAACTTACTAGAACTTTCAATACTGAATTAATGCCATCTTCAGACAAGTCAGATCAAACATAGAATGCATATAGATTCAAATAGTTTTTTAACAAGTTCAGAAAGAATTCAGAATAGATTATCATATTTAAACAGTGGGTTTAACAAATTTATTTATTTATTTTTAATCTTTTTGAGTAGAATTATACTAAATGGAACAAGTTTGAGATTTTTATAGAAAAACAAAGAAACACGCTACCCTCCTTCACCACCTCTACCTCCTCCATCCCCCTTTGTTGTTGGTTGTTTGTCACAATTTAATTTTAGTGTGTTTAGCACAACTATCATCAGCATAGTTGATGTTGATCTTTGACTCATTACTAAAGATGAATGACTCTGTTCTTCTATAGTCCAGTTTTTTGTTCTTTGGTCCACAGCAGTCATTTCTATTGGTGAATTTTGATTAATCTTGGTTTTGTTTTAATTTTCCTATAGGAATACAGTTAGAATCATATCCATGGAATGGATACAATTCCTTACTGTTCTGTCTGAGACTAGTATTCTGCTAATCTTGGACCAAGCAGCATTCTAGTTGCTTCAAGATTGCTTGCAGCATACTGCTGCTAATTTGATGCAATATCCTATGTGGACACCCACTTTTGAACCAAGTTTTTACAATTTGTTGTTTTATACTTCTTTCATATCTTAATTACATGGGACTATGAACACCTAATTGTCTGGGCAACATAACATTGAGAATATCTGTTCTTCAGCAATGCAATGATATGATTTTTTATGTTTTCAAATTGTCAGACAGTTAAGTCATTGGAAGCCATTTCTATTGCCATTATATCAGGAGCCACTGATGGCAGTTAACAAACACAAAGAAACTTTGAGTATTTAAGTAGTTTTGCATTATAACAGGGTATATTTTTTATCTTGAGACAATGAAATATCTTAATTGGATCTCATTATTTTGGAAAAAGGTATAGACAAAAGTTGTAGGGTGTCGAGGGGGCAATAAATTGGTGACCTCAGGTATGACCTTGACATTGACCTTCAAGGTCATTTGGAAGTCAAGTCCTTTTTCAATGGGAATACATATTTTTGACCCCGGAAATGGAAAGAGCAGGAAATTTTACATTCAGATATACCCTTGATTTTAAGGTATAGGTCAAAGGTCAAGATTATTTTAAGGTTAAAATTAAAAGCTTTTACTAATAGGAAACCATATTTTTTATTACTGGAATAGATGGGGAGATAAAATTTACATTTACATGGAAAGAGTGGAAAATTTCACAATCAGCTATGATCTTGAGTACTCTGAATTTGACCTCTGAAGGTCATCTCAAGCTTGATAATTTTAAGCACAACTCACCAAATGCATTGAAGTGGAAAAGCATCATTTTGAACATTTGTTATAAAATTTTCCCTAAAACCAATATCTCAAGCAATGGTGAGAAATAAAGTGACTCGCTGAAAACATGCATCCCGATAGTGAAAGGCAAGGTGACTAACTGAAAATAAGCACTTTAAACGGTGCCACATTGTTACTCCTGGATAATACTAAAAGTAGTGAATGCTTTTAAAAGTGAAAGTAATAAGGTTGTGAAAAAATGTAAATTTTACCTCCCTGTCTATTTCAGTAATAAAAAATGTGGTTTCTAATTAGTAAAAGTTTTTAATTTTAACCTTAAAATAATCTTGACTTTTGACCTATACCTTAAGATCAAGGGTATATCTGAATGTAAAATTTCTTGCTCTTTCCATTTCCAGGGTCAAAAATGTGTGTTCCCATTGAAAAAAACGGACTTGACCTCTAAATGACCTTGAAGGTCAATGTCAAGGTCACATCTGAGGTCACCAATTTATTGCCCCCTTGACAGCCTACAACTTTTGTCTCTATCTTTTTCCAAAATAATGAAATCCAATTAAGATATTTCATTGTCTCAAGATAAAAAATACACCCTGTATATGCAATACCTAATTTGCATAGATTTTGTTTACTTTAAGTGATAAGCAGAAGACTTCATACTTATTTCCACAGCCTTGTGATTCAAAACTTTTTCTGAGATGAATATGTTACATTTATCTTGAGTAGATTTTTGTTTTGAATTTAATTACTATTTATTTGTTAGGATTTACATATTGGGAATATAGTTTTATTATAATTTTATTGCTATAATTAAGCATACATGAAATTTCAGTAATAGCATGAGTAATTTTCAACAATATTTTTCAGATCTTTTTAAAGTATTTGCTTAAGATTTCTTTAGATTGCTTAAGATTTGCACTTAAGATTTCTTTAAATTGTATTAAATTAAAATCATTGTTTTAAAACATAGTGTTGCTTCTTTTGTAAGTTTGCATTCTTAACAATTCTGTGACTTGAACACTAACCCCTTTATTTACATATTCAGTTAGTTACATATTTTACCATAATTAATTTTTCATATCATTATATTGGTATACATATTCTTTGATTATTATATTGTTATATATATATATTTTTTTCAATATTGCAATTATT